ACCGGATCGTGGTGCCCATGTCCATCAACCCGCGGTACCCGTCCTACTACTACCTCAACCTCAACGGGCTGTCCATCGGCGACAAGGCCATGTCCTCCTCCTTCAGGAGCAGCATGAACGCGACGACTCCAGGTACTTCAGACCCCAACCCCAACCCCAACCCCAATGTGGCGGCGTCTCCCGTGCCCGTGTCCGGCGACGGCGACGGCGGCACGGGCCCGAACGCGTTCGGGATGATCATCGACATCGCGTCAACGATCACGTTCCTGGAGGAGTCGCTGTACGAGGAGCTAGTGGACGACCTGGAGGAGGAGATCAGGCTGCCGCGGGGTTCCGGCTCGAGCCTGGGGCTGGACCTCTGCTTCATCCTGCCGAACGGGGTGCCGATGAGCCGCGTGTACGCGCCGTCGATGTCACTGGCGTTCGACGGGGAGTGGCTGAGGCTGGAGAAGGAGCTGCTGTTCGTGGAGGACAGGGAGAGCGGGATGATGTGCCTCATGATCGGCAAGACGGACGGGGTGTCCATCCTCGGCAACTACCAGCAGCAGAACATTCAGGTCATGTACAACCTGCGCCGGCAGAGGATCACCTTCGTCAAGACCAACTGCGAAACCCTGACTCACTAGGATCCATACTCTACTTGGCGTGCTGCGTGTTTCTCTATAGTGCTATTGACCCATAACATATTTAGACATTGAAGAAATCTGAACTGGACAGTGAGGACAGAAAAGGAGCAACCACTCGTTGAATTTGTGAGTGCATTTCTACAGCATATCTATATTATCCGAAAATGTATCAAGCGAATTGATACAATGGTCTAAGGGCATCTTTTTCTCTTCTTTTTTTGCGGATTGTCAATGAATGAAATTTGTGAATCTACGAAGAATGTTAATTTTATGTTCGCACTAAGGAATTCAAATTTTTTGTCCCATTCTACTTTTTCTAGGCTCCTTGCCTTGCTCCTCAGTGCGAGTAAAATAGAAGGACTACCAATGGCTCTCGTCACCATCTCACTTAGGGCATCTCCAACAGAAACCAGCAAATTTCTTCCCGCATCCGTTGGTGGACAACGGGGATCAGTCGGCGGACATGGATGCCGAAGACCGCCATCCAACGCTGCCTGCGTACATTTCAAACACTATCCGAACAACCGAACAAAATTCGTGCAAACATGACCAGATTTTCATAAAAATTGGACAAAGTTAATGCAATGATGCAAACACGGTGGATTTTCATTAGATTTCATATTAACATATGATGGAATTCATTACATTTTAGACATAACTCAACTAAAAGCGGTGCTCGTCCGACTCTAGTACCTAAACTAAAAGATCGCCATCTCCAGCCATGAGCCCCTAAAAATGAAGCTTTGCCTTCTCCAGCTCCGCCTCCGGAGCCCCAGAACTGAAGTTGTCCGCCTCCACGTCGTCGCCAAGCGACTATTGGCCGAAGATGCTCATCCCGCCAAGCTTGGCATCGACGGGAGGGGAGGAGCGGTGGCCTTCTTGAGAACCGAGCGGCGGCGACCTATCGAGCGCTACTCTTCCTCGCTGCCAGCGGCGCCCACAGACGTGCCGGCTTTTGTGGTCGTGCTGGCGGGGCATGGCCTCGGCGGAGTCGGCGATGTCGTCCTCGTCGTCGGTCTTGCCGGGTCCGCCACCTCGTCGCACTCCTTGTAGGCGGATCTCGCGGGCGAAGTGGTAGGAGTCGAGCAGTGCCGCCTACTCCACCATGTCCGCGCTCCGTGCGACCGCCCTGCCGGCGGCGAGCTGCTCCTCCTCTTGCAGGTGCTCCTGGAGGAGTTGGTGGTTGTAGGTGGCATCGACCTGCGCCTCCCGGAACTGCTCCTCCCGCACCATGTACAAGTAATGGCATGGGCCTCGCCGATGATAATGGTGCAATGCACTGGCGAGGGTGGCGTGGACGAGGAGGCTGGCAGACGAGGAGGGTGGCGCCAGCTCGTCATCGGCTGCGTCCTCCATTGGGACATCGCCATCCTCCGGCTGTGTGCCGACCTGCCAGCTTGCAGCAATGGCGACCATCTACTTCTTCTGCTCCGGCATCAGCCCATCCCAGAGAGCTTTGACGCGAGAGGAATCCACTGGAGTGGTGTGGAGAGGGATTGGAGGCGAATGACTACGGCTATGGCCGGCCAGCAGTTTATATAGCAATGGTGGACGGCAGAGGGACGGACGAGTGGCTTGGCAACCGTGTGTCATTAATGTGGGTGGCGGATGGATGGACGACCGTCGTGTCATCTGAACGCGGAACAGTCACGCGCACCGGGAAGCGGCTGGGGTGATGCACTCTCGGTCGGCGCACCGCTTCAATGCCGGCGCCAGTGAGCAGTTGCGTCCGCTCTGGCAGGCATGAATGCGGGCACTGATGCCCTAGAGCGGCGCTGGCGGTTTCAAGCAGGAAGGGCGCACGAACAAGGGAGGAGGTTTGGGTGGGCCAGTCAGAAGGACAGTCGAAAGCGGACATGGCAGCGGTTCATATGACCGTAAAGTCCCCCTACATTTGTCTTCGGTTTGCGGTTTGCGGGAAAAAACATTTCAGACCCATGTTGAATGGCTTCCGCGGTCGGGACAGCGCGGTCCGAGGCATGGATATATTCGCAACTCACAAGCTATTCGGATGTTACAAGAATAAAGACATTTCTGCAACAATCAATTCCGCCTTCATGTGTGTATCCAAAAATGGAAAAACCGCTCTCTAATGTGATTATTACATGGCTACTGCATACTTGTGCACAGCATTCGCCAAATCCTGAACATGCTGATCCACGATACCTGCCATGAACACATAACTGATTCACACACTTGCCTTTTTTACATAGCAAATTTAGACATCGAAGAGTATAGGTACGGTATAGCATTGAGCTCTGCTTCTCTGAACATTCAGAAATCTGAACTGGCCACTGAGGACAGAAAAGGAGCAACCACTCGTTGAATTTGTGAGTACATTTTTACAGCATATCTATTATCATCCGAAAATGTATCAGGCGAATTGATACAATGGTCGAAGGGCATGTTTTTTTTCCTTTTCCTTTTTGCATACTATAAATGAATGAAATTTGTGAATCCACAAGGAATGTGAATTTTATATTCGCACAAGTGAATTCTTTTTTACCTTTTGGGTCCCATTATACTTTTTCTAGGCTCCTTGCATTGGTCCTCAGTGTGAGTAAAATGGAAGGAGAACCAATAGCTCCCATTACCATCTCACTTATGTAATTTTTTATACTGTCATCTATAGAGGGGCATGCTATATTCACAACTCACAAGCTTTTCAGATCTTACAAGAATAAATGATGCTTCCGCAACAATCAATTCCACCTTCATGTGATCCTATAATGACATTATTACATGGTGTCTGCATAACTGCGCACAGCATTCGCCAAATCCTGAACATGCTGATCCACAATACCTGCCATGAACAAATAACCGATGAACACACTTGCAGATTTTCTATAAGAAAAAAGAAAACATAAGTGACAACCTTACCTATTTTGTTTAACGCGTCCTCAAGTTTGAACAGATACTCTTTATTAGGTCCAGTTGGGCCTTCAGCTAGGTAGATTTGCCTGAACATAACATAGATTATCATCGAAATTAACCACATTTTCAGTTCAAACAAAATAGTGCTCAAGTTTAAGGAGGTGCCATACTTGGCCATTTCTTCTAGCGGAGCGGGACCCAGATAGTTTCGGTTGGCTTCCTTATTTGTGGTGGCTAAATATCTGTTGGTAGAAATCAGTTCCATCAGTTTTTTTAAGCAATTTTACCAATAGCTCATTGTAAGACCACAAGACCACTTACATCATCATATCTTGGACTGCTGGTATTTTGAGGGAAGAGTCCTGAAACATTTCAAAATTAATGAGTAATTACATATCGAACAATCTGGAACATAAGAAATTATTCAAGCAATTGGTAGTCATTTTCTTACTGTATACAAGTCAAGGTAAACCTTCTCATCATATTGCTTCTCTCTTACTTCCAGATACTGCAATTCAAGATTGAAGGTAAATTGACAATAGACGCAGGCAAGCAACTCAAAGTCACTTTATGAAAACACCGATCAAGGGCAGTATTACTTCGATGTACAAACGGGCTGTTAGAAGTAGCATCTAGACAAAGTATCTGAGTTCAAATGAAGAGTTCTTACTTTTCTTAAAGAAAATTACTTATCTTAGCTCAAGGCTGAATCATCAATATCTCAACAAGCTATTGATACCATTATAATAAAGCATACTCATACCATTAACCAATCTATTTATCTCCATTATGACAGACAGCCAACCGCATTCTTGTCCGAACCATGGAATAATTGTGCATAATCATTTACAAAGTACAGCATTCATGAACTACACGTATCTCACTTAGTCTATACATATTTCTTCTTTTTACCTCCAGGGCTGTCTGCTTATCTTGCTCCCTTGAAATTTTGTAAGCAACTCCCCACTGCAGTTGTACAACAGAAATTCAATTGCAAAATATGTTCACACTCCGTTAACAGAGTAGCCACGAGAAATAAACAAATACTCCCTCCGTTCCTAAATACAAGTCTTTGTAGAGATTTCACTATGGACCACATACGGATGTATATAGATGCATTTTAGAGTGTAGATTCATTCATTTTGCTCCGTATGTGGTCTATAGTGTAATCTCTCCAAAGACTTATATTTAGAAACGGAGGGAGTACTACTATACAGAATAACCTAACAATATTGGGGAGCATTAGCATAATGAAAAGATGTCACTGAGGAGAACTAACGAACTTACTAACCCATTTCGCACGTACTATCTAGCTTCTCATAAGTTCTCTGAGATAACTCGAAGCAGGTACGATTCGCCATCCTAATGCACTCACTGATCTTGCTTGACAACTTTCAATTTAGTTGTCGATCATGAATTGCTTTCGGCGTTAGGATAAACTAGCTTCCATATTCAAGTTCAAGACCACTGACACGGACAATCCTATCTGATCAAGCGATGCTATACAATCAAAAGTAATTCACTGACAGCGAGGAACTGAAAAAGAACTGATATCTGAACATCACAGGAGGGGTTTATCCTAATCTGAGAGCAGAGAGTTGGGCGGCGTACGCATGTGGACCCGGGCTGGTGTTCCAGCGTGACGGTCCTGCCGGGGAACTCCGGCGTGCCCCTGTGGTCCGTGCTCCCTGTCGATCCGGCGACAAAAACCCAAGAAGAAAACCAGAGGGTCAGCGAGATAGATCTGAGAAGCGCGGGCGAGTGGCCGCCGGAGTAATCAGTTAGCTAATCCATACCCACCCTGGTAGAAGACGCGGCGGTAGTCCCTGACGAAGCCGACGAGGCGGGCGTCGTAGGCGAACCCGGGGTTCCACACCAGGGAGCCGTAGCCGAACACCCACATCACCATGCCTGCCCCTCCCCTCACTTGCTCCCAATCGGCGTGCGTGTGGGTTTGCCTCTGCCGCTTCTCTGATTGGATACCTCCCCTCCCAGGACGACGGTTGGACAGTTGGAGGACAACTGGCTGGGCCAACTGAAGGCCCATGTTTGGGCCCGAACATGGCAGCCCGGTGGTAACACGCCAGTGGTAGCACCACGTTACATATCATCAGATCATTAGGTCGCTAAACTTGTTTAGTACCACATCGCTTGCCTGCGCGGGCTGGAGCCGGGGACTGTGCTATATAATCAAGCCATAGTGCGCCCCGTAAACTTACTTACCTGGACGGGGTCGATGGCTGATCAACAAAAGCCATGGCCTAGGCTAGTGGTCCACATTGCACTTGGTGGATGCACTTGCTTACCATCTCCCCAAGCGGGAGAGTGGACGTCATAATTTGTGATAGAGGGGGTACGCGTTCGCGCGGCCCCTGCCAATTCTTTAATTGAAAATTTGATGAATTTGTATATATATGTGCTGCTTTTTGTTCATGAATTATTATGAATGACTCTATTCTAGAATTTGAAAATTTAACTGAGCTTACTCTATTCTAGTCTTCTGGTAACACTTGCTCTTAAACATTTGGCCTCCAGAAAAGCAGCACCTACCAAACATAAGAGAAGGCCAACATTTTTACTCCTACAAACACTAAGGAAAAGTAGCATTCAGGAACAATTACGAGCACATGCCAAATCCCCAGTCAATAACTCCAGAACACAAAGACACGTTCTCTTTCCAAAGTAACATTGCAGGATCAATCCACACAATCAAGAACACACATACAGAGCAATTACCTCAGAAGACAGACGCCAAGCTAAAAACAATGCTTAACTCGGTCAGACAACAGTAAGCATTTCAAATTGATGTTTAATAACCAAAAGGAAGCCTGCAGTTTCTGATATATCCCCAAAAACCCAGCCGTTTAGCCCCCTGGATTTTGCACCACAGAGTCAATCATCGCTTTCAGTGTCATCGTAGTCGTAATCGCCACCACTGCTCGAGTTCTCGTCGTAATCAGGCTCCCATGGCTCCCGGAACGACTCGAGAGCGCAGCATCTCTCCTCAATGTCGCCGTCAAGCCTGACATTCAAGCTGCCAAGTATATCCAGTGTACGCAGCAGAGGGCATTTGGTGAGGATGGCATCAAGGCCAACATCACTGAACAGACCATATGCAAGCTCAAGTTGCTTGAGCATCGGCATGGTATTCGCAACCGCCAGGGCCTCGTCTTCGACCACTTTAGGTGCTGCATCGTTGCCTTGGGGGGACTCCGGAGGCATGTTCCTCTTCAGCTGAGCAAGCGACTTGCATTGTCGGCCTATTGCTTCCATGCCTCTCGATGTGACTTTCAGGCAGTAACTGATGTCCAACACTCTTAGGGCAGGAAAGCATTTCACGTACTTCTCCACGGCTTGGTCAGATATCTCGCTCATCGGGATCTGGAGGACATTAAGCAACTTCCCACTGTCCAGTGGAAATTAACCATCACAATCAGAACTTCAATTTTTTCGATAAAGAATCAGAACTTTAACAGTTGCAGCAATGGTAAATTAGGTGCCAAATTTGCAGCATACGACAGGAAAGAAAAGATGTAGTACCGTTAAGCCAACTGGCACATAACAGAGCAATGGCATTACACAAAATGTCATAGAGAAGTATCACAGGCAGAGTTATAGTCCTAATCTTCTATGCTACATAGAAGTTCTGAACTGAAGCAGTACAAATTAAGCAATATGTGATATGTATCAAGAAATAGATTAGCTAGTTGGTGGTGATTTTCTTCACATGACAAGAAGCCTCAGAAAAACCAGGACCGGCATCATCTGAAACTAGTGGTTCCCATTTTGTTTTGAGAGAAAACAAAGGTTGGCCCTAATGTCATCTAACAATATCCACACATATCATAGAATCAAAATAGCAGATTATCATCCTGTCAAATCAAAATAGCAGATCATGATGTTCACATTTGCACACAAGTAGATGCCCTTCAGTAGCAAATTAGCAGAGGTTTATCCCCAATGCACTTGCGTGGGTGTGTGCCTGCGTGTGACGGTGTAATCCCTGAAAAAAAAGTATGGCTCTGAACTCTGATTCGTTCTGTAAGATTAAAAACGTAGGAGGTGTGTTGGCAAAACTTCTTTTTTTTTTAATAGAAGTGAGCTGCCACCTACAAATGGTTATCGTATAAACATGGATTTCACAGTGTCATCACTGGTGCCTGATCACTAAACTGAAAAACCTCTAGCAGCAGCTCTAATGCACAATAGCTCGTAGGCAAAACTCTACAGCTTGAAAGCCATCAATTAATTATTACCCCAAATATATGAGTTCTCACAGTTCCCAACTATGAGTCTCCCAAACTATTGATGCAAAATTGGCAATTTTACTAGCAGTCATCGACATGTTCAAGCAGCGGGTTTTTTCCACCACAATTCACAAAGGCATCGACATGTCACGGCAGCTTCCTTCTGCTACTAGCATGAAACCAAGAACTACCTTTCGGGGCAGGCAAAGGGGGCAGCGCGACTTACGAGGCGGCGACGTAGGCAAGCGCGGCGTCGCCGACGTGGTAGGCGGAGAGCCGTCGGATCGTGCCCTGGGAGCGGGCGACAAGGCGGCGCACAGCTGCGTCGGCCCTGACCCGGCACTTGACGCGGCGGCACCAGGCCTCGATGTCCACGTCCCCCCACATGTCCGGCGACGCAGCGGCCTCCCTCCACGCCCTGCACACCGCCGCGGGCCCGCGCGCAATCTCGTCGGCGGCGAACCTGCCCCGCAGTATCAGCGCCATTATCTCCGGGCTCGCAGCCTCCGTCCACCTCCAATCGTACATTTCCTCCTTGACCTCATCGCCCCTCACGTCCCCTCCACCGCCCCCTTCCACGGCCACGCAAGGACTCGCCTTTTCCGTCTCCGGCAAACACCACTCGTTCTCTCCTCCGCCGGTGGCCGCATCCGCGCTCTTCTCCGCCGCCTCCGCCCAGCTCGTTCCAAAAAACCCTCTTCCGCCGCAGCTTCGTCCATCAAGCCCCACCATTTCCGCCTCCATCTCCATCCGCCACCCTCCGCCATCTCCGACCAAGGCTGCTCCGCCACCAACTTTGGGCTTCTTCTTCATGGCCTCGGCGTGCGACCACTTCACCACGGGCGCCGGCAGTCTCCCTCTCCAACCCCCATTAGGCCGCTCCCTCTTCGCCTCCCACCCCGAGCCCTCCCCTGCGGGGAATCCGGCGCCGGACGGAGGGTTCCGACGCTTCATTGCCGGCGATTTGCCTCGGCCAACTCGCCGTGTTTGTTTTGGGGTTTTCCGTTCCCTTTTTGGTTGGAATTGGGGAGGAGCGGAGAAGCGCACATCCGGCTCACTAGTAGAGCTGAGCTAACCTCTTGTAGCAATGGAGATGCCCCACCCACGCCGCGGATCGGCGGAGCTGATGTGCGACGCGTGTCTACTCCAACGGATCGACGCCCTTGCCTCTTGGAGTTCGTGGGTTCGGGATTCGGGGGTACTGGACTGCGGGTGCACGGTGGCGTTTCGCATTCAAAGCGGGAGATCAGATCAGTAAACTGAGTATAGGTGGGCTAGGCAACTCCTAGGCGGTCCACCAAAACAGACACCAGTAAATATTTGTGGACATAATTGACCATACTAAATGGACAGATAGAATTGGGTGTTCCCCCTCAAAAAAAAAAAAATTATTCATCAAATGTTTATTTTTTTGTCCAATGAAGAGGAGAGAGAAAAAAAGAGAAAGGGGAAAAGATGGATTTGTGATGGGTCTAATGCTAAGTTGGTGTGTCTGCAATGTGCACTTCTCCAAATCACTATGTACTATGTTTGGTACCGGTTTATGCGATTTTAAATATTTGCTCGTGTCCGCAATATTGATGACTCCTGTTGGAGGGCAAATATTGTCTGGGCCGCCGATCCAAATATTAAAAGCGATTTGGTGGGTCACGCTGCGGGAGCCCTTAGGATGGATTGATGTAATGTTTCTTTTATTATTGATAAGATAAGATTTTTCGCTGCAAATTTCATTGTAAATGAAGTTAATAAGGGCATCTCAAAGGGCAATGTTAAATCTAAGTCTTCGTATGTTTGTGGACATGTCCATGGATAAATATCATCTGCCTCTAAAAAGTGGACGTCCACCACCGTCCTCCAATTCTCCCTTCCCCATATGTATGGTCCATTTTGTCCAAAATTTCCAATATTGCTATTATATTACACACATAAAAATCAAAATTGAATACAAATAAAAAGCAATGATTTAATAATCAACATGTCAAACAACTCAACAATTCAGACATGATCCTCTTACAAATGATTTAATAATTCAAACATAGCTGATAAATCCAATGAACAAAAAAACTTGTGTTGATGTCTCTGTGCATCGCGTGAACCACTCAGCAGCGTCATCCATGAGACTAATGTCAGCCACCATGATCCTCGACGCCTCGATAATCCTCATAAGCACAACTTGTTCGGCCTCGGTTGTCGCTCGCTTTGCTTCAATGCCAATCCCCCCCCTCCCCCTCTCTCTCTCTCTCTCTCTCTCTCTCTCTATATATATATATATATATATATATGACAAAATAAAAACTTATTATTTTCTCAATTTTAGTTGTAGACAAGTTTTAGCAATTCTACCAAGTCAAGCAACATCCTACACATGTAAGTCTAAGAGTTGTGCAGCGGAAAGTAAAGACTTTGCACATGAACGTAAAGGAGGGATCAAAGAAATCAAACGCAATGAAGACACGGTGATTTTTGGCGTGGTTCCGATAGGTGGTGCTAGCATACATCCATATTGATGGAGACTTCAACCCACGGAGGGTAACGGCTGCGCGAGTCCACGGAGGGCTCCATCCACGAAGGATCCACGAAGAAGTAACCTTGTCTATTCCACCATGGCTTACACCCACGAAGGACCAACATCACTCGGTGTAGATCTTCACGAAGTAGCCGATCTCTTTGCCCTTACAAACTTCTTGGTTCAACTCCATACGATCTTGAAGGCTCCCAAGTGACACCTAACCAATCTAGGAGACACCACTCTTCAAAAGGTAATGGATGGTGTGTTGATGATGAACTCCTCGCTCTTGTGCTTCAAAAGATAGTCTCCTCAACACTCAAGCACTCTCTCACAGATTTGGCTTGGGTAGGAGAAGGATTGGAGTGGAAAGCAATTTGGGGAGGCTAGAAATCAAGGTTCAAATGGTTGAATTGGAATGCCTTGATCTCAACACATGAGATCGTGGTTCTCTCTCGAAAAATGAATGGTGGAAGTGTAGTTTAGTTCTGATTGCTCTCTTTTAGAGTAAGTGGGGGGTGGAAGGGTATATATAGTCAGCAACAAAAATCCAACTGCTACAAACTTTTTACAAAACTCAGTGGCACCAAAATGAAATCTCGATGGAACAAAACAGTGCAAAGATTCGAACGTTAGGCTTTTTGGTGAGACCGAACAAATCCTCTCGGTGGCTTCAATTAGCGATGACCTAAGCAGATACCTTGTTTCAGTAGTTTCGACTGTTTCAACTTGGTAATTCCGAAATGAAGTCGATGGGTTACATAAACTTGGTCACTACACTCTGGTGGGACCGAATGCCATCTTGGTGGAACCAAGTTGTAACGCCCCGGATGCAACTTTCCATATTCGTAACTCCAACTCTTGCCTTTTCCGGAGATGCGATATGATATTTCCTTCGTGGTTGGGGTTTTGTCGTTTGTTTTGCATTTTGTTCTTGTTTTGCATCTCGTCTCATGTCATCATCCGCATGTTTTTCAAAACTTGCATCCGTTCGGGTTCTCCCGGTTCTCTCCGTTGTCCGTTCGGAGTCCAGACACACTCGCACGCGCTCGCGACACCTCCGAAATATATTTTATTAGTGGCATAAAAATGTTCTCGGAATGGGTTGCAACTTGCCGTGCGGTCTTAGTATAGTGTAGACAGACCGCCTGCCAAGTTTCGTCGCATTCGGAGTTCATTTGATAGCCCAACCGTTAAATGTATAGCGGCACCGTTGCCGGATTATTCGTCGGATGTTTCGGTCTTCGAAACTGCCGCCGGGCTGCCCTTCTCTTCTCTCTTCTCAGCCCAAGGCCTCTCTTCACAGCCCACCAACCCCTCTCCTAGTCGCTCTCCGCTCCGGAACCGTGGGATCGAGATCCGAGGGTCCCGAAACCCCTCCTAACCCCCCAACTCTAGCCCCTCCTGCTATATATGGACCCCCCCTGTCCATTTTCGGACTAAACCCTAGTATAACCTAGCCTAACCCCTCCCCTAACCTGCAGCCGCCGCCACCTCCCACCTCGGCCTCGTTTTCCGTGCCGGCCAAGCCCACCGCTGCCAAGTGGCGCGCCCCCACTGGCCTCCGCCGCCGCAGCCAGCGCCCCGGACCAACCGGAAGGCGCCACGTCATGCC